GAGATACTCATTATGAGACCTCCTTTGCCAGAAACAAGATATGGGAATAGGTTTTACCCTTTTAACTGGCACAAAAAACTGACACCTTTATTCAAGGCATCATGTTTGCAATAACCACAACACAAGCAGTCAAAATGCAAAGGAGGTCTCATAATGTAAATGCTCACCCCGAGCCCTCAATACTCTGATAGTGCGCTGTTTTTGAGTTGTACGCCTTTTGGCGTCTTCTGGTCCAACACCAGTGGAGACTAGGCTCTAAGAAAAGCTGTCTCGGGTGTGGACCAATCAAATTCAAGGACAGTGCATATTATTATCAGAGTTGTCTTTTTTGTTTGCATTTTGACTGCTTGTGTTGTGGTTATTGCAAACATGATGCCTTGAATAAAGGTGTCAGTTTTTTGTGCCAGTTAAAAGGGTAAAACCTATTCCTATACCATGAGATACTCATTGGGTGGCTAAAGTCAAGGTTCGGTGTATTGGGTATGGCACTGGGGTGGATTGAGTCATACCTGCATGGTCGATCACAGTTCGTTAAGCTGGTTGACGAAGTCATCGCCAATGCCGTGACTAGTTGGTGTACTACAGGGGTCAGATCTCGAACCCTTTCTATTTTAAATATACGTCTCTCCGATCGCCGATGTCATCTCATCCCATAACATCAAGTTACATCAATATGCTGATGATGCGTTGAATTGAAAGTTAGATATGGAGAGCTGGTGTATATATGCCTGTTCTAAAAATGTATTTTAAATGTGATATTGTCAATCCTGAATATGTAGAAATACGCATTCCCTGCATGCCAAAAGTCGAAAACCCCAGATGAAAAAGCCAACAACAACAGAATAGAAAGCAGGGAAACAGAATACTAGAGGTTTTTATAAGATGGGCATGATACGAATCACCAGAGCTGAGGATGGTCTTGTGAAGCCATAGTTAGTATATTTCTCTTCCCAGAAATTAACCCAACTCATGTAGCAGAAGAGGAACACGATAATGGTAGGCCATGGAGGAAATAACCCTCACTTGGGCAAGGAGTAACCCAGAACAAATTACGCGAGATAAATTTATGTACAGGGTCTGGCATCAGCGTGTCCAAAGAACAGAGCCGAACAGGATGTGAAAGGGAGGACCCATGGCAAAACACCATGAACCGGCTGTCCACCCAGGCCAAATACAGGGCAAATATACAATAATGCCCCTTGCCGTTTCAACAGCAAATCTGAATTAACAAACCCTGGTCTCCGGAAAGTTGAAACGTTCAAACTGATAACCACCGCATACAAATAATCTTAAACATCGAGGTACTACATGGTAATCTAATGATGTTACATGACAATACAGCACAGAGGAGCTTTTTATTATAACTATTTGCATGTTATAAATGATTTTGACCCTTTTATCTGGCAACAAAACTGACACCTTTTTACAAGGGATCATGTTTGCATTAACCACAATACCTGCGGTCAAAATGCAAACCAAAATCAGCACTCTGATAATGTTTGCTTTGTCCTTGAAATTGATTAGTCCACACCAGAGATATGTGCATGTTTTGTTAACGCCCACTTATCCACACATAATTGCCATGAGGTCTGGGTTAAGCATATGAAACTTGATCATGAATGATTGTAGTTTGTATTGAAGTATGGAACCTAAGGATTTTTCAGAACAATATAAACAATAAGGTCTCAGAGTACATGCGGATTAGATCCATATACAGTGAGGGAAAAAAGTATTTGATCCCCTGCTGATTTTGTACCCAAGATTTGACGGTACATGGCCCCGTCCATCGTCCCTTTGATGCGGTGAAGTTGTCCTGTCCCCTTAGCAGAAAAACATCCCCAAAGCATAATGTTTCCACCTCCATGTTTGACGGTGGGGATGGTGTTCTTGGGTCATAGGCATCATTCCTCCTCCTCCAAACTAGGCGAGTTGAGTTGATGCCAAAGAGCTCCATTTTGGTCTCATCTGACCACAACACTTTCACCCAGTTGTCCTCTGAATCATTCAGATGTTCATTGGCAAACTTCAGACGGGCATGTATATGTGCTTTCTTGAGCAGGGGGACCTTGCGGGTGCTGCAGGATTTCAGTCCTTCACGGTGTAGTGTCACCAATTGTTTTCTTGGTGACTATGGTCCCAGCTGCCTTGAGATATTGACAAGATCCTCCCGTGTAGTTCTGGGCTGATTCCTCACCGCTCTCATGATCATTGCAACTCCACGAGGTGAGATCTTGCATGGAGCCCCAGGCCGAGGGAGATTGACAGTTCTTTTGTGTTTCTTACATTTGCGAATAATCGCATCAACTGTTGTCACCTTCTCACCAAGCTGCTTGGCAATGGTCTTGTAGCCCATTCCAGCCTTGTGTAGGTCTACAATCTTGTCCCTGAGATCCTTGGAGAGCTCTTTGGTCTTGGCCATGGTGGAGAGTTTGGAATCTGATTGATTGATTGCTTCTGTTGACAAGTGTCTTTTATACAGGTAACAAGCTGAGATTAGGAGCACTCCCTTTAAATGTGCTCCTAATGTTAGCTCGTTACCTGTATAAAAGACACCTGGGAGCCAGAAATCTTTCTGATTGAGAGGGGGTCAAATACTTATTTCCCGTCATTAAAATGCAAATCAATTTATAACATTTTTGACATGCGTTTTTCTGGATTTTCTTGTTATTATGTCTCTCACTGTTCAAATAAACCTACCATTAAAATTATAGACTGATCATTTATTTGTCAGTGGGCAAACTTACAAAATCTGCAGGGGATCAAATACTTTTTTCCCTCACTGTAACCTCCACGCAATTGCGAATTCGTGTAAGTTGGGGTTCCCATTTATGAGTGTATATAAAATGTAAGAGTGCATATAAAATGTATATAATGCACATAAATGTTTAATAAAGTACTATACTGTACAGTAAATGATTAACTAATCATTGGTAGCATCCAGGTCAGATAGAACACTCTATTTTTTTGGACTCATTTCTTGTGCGGGCGATACAGTTACATGCCCTCAAATGCATCGTTCGCGTGATGGTAGGGGGTAATGTGACTCGCTTTCCACCCCGTGCGTGTAGTGAAAGTACGAATAATAAGTGCAAGTATGAATTGGGGTCGGTCGCGTATCTGAGCCTGCGTACTCAGAGACCTTACGGTAATACTAATTACGCCAATTCTCCACTACCAAAAATAATCTATTCAAGGGATATAACCAGAGCTGTGCCTGGCCGCCTTTGTCTTCCCAGTGGCGATCTTTACATGCCGCACCAGGTATTCGGGGGGGGGGGGAGGTGGGGGAACCAGGACCAGTTCAGATAACCGCCAGCGTGTTGTAAATCGGAATCAAACTCGGCAAGCCAGGCTCAATAGGAGAGGGGACAAACACAGACATGAATACCAGTGAGGGAGGAAGGCCGTTTCACACTTAAACACATGTGCTACAGACACACACACCACATCTAAGGGCTAACTTTCATGAGTCGACATACATCACAAGGGGCAATTAAGTGGGTCAGGTATGGCGGTTGCAGATTCCAGGATCCACTTTTCTACTTCATCCAAAGAGCCTTGGCACCATACTCGATAAAAAGTCAGTGCAGATATAACCTGGTGTGTAGCGTATGATCATTGCCACACATTCGGTGTATTCTCACTACTCGTGTACTTGCTTAAAACAGACTGTTAGCTGTAATAGCTTGGCTGTAGTGAGGCTGTGGGTTCGCACAACCGGTAGGATGTTTGTTTAAATACCGCGTTTCTGTGTGATCACTGAAAAAAATATTTAAAAAAAACTACCATTGTAGTATGGTGTTGTAGCTTAAACAGTGAGGGCGAGTGAGTAGATTACATGAGTGGGCAGGTGTGCGTGTATGGCACGGGTACCGTAGCGCACTGCATTGTATGAACCCTGGATGTAAGCATTTTGGTTATTGAGTTTAACATTTGGATAGTGTGGCAACCGACCTTGACCCGCATTTTCTCTTTCACGTGGTGATCAAACGACATATCCTAGTTGAGTATGGTGCCGAGGGTCTTTTAGATGAGTAGAAAACTGGATCCTGATGTCTGCGACCGCCACATCTGATTCTCCAACAATTTATTTCGCTTGAGCCTGAGTGCCAACCAGCAGTAACCTCCAATTTTCCTGGATTAAGCAGCATTTAGTTCCATGCAAACCAAACGACCACTGCTCGCGTGCAATCTTCAAGGTTACTGAAGCTCTCCTTATCTCACTTTGACTTCACTGCAGTGTACAATCGTGTATCATTAACATATTGATGGAACTTGATGTTACGCGATGAGATGACATCTCAGCTTGCAAAAGAAGTCGGCCGTCGGAGGAGCCCTCGTTTTCAGACACCACCTGCATGGTGGTGGTTTTATTCCTTCTCCCCCACGTTGCCTCTCCCGTGCCTCACGCTAAATTTTCACCCAGTTACCTCTTTCTTTGAAGTTGTAGAATTCGCGTGGCTAACCCGAGCCCCCTGAAGAATGTTTTCTTTCCTACATCACTCACACCCCGTATGTCTAGAGGGGCTACTTGAAACTCGCTCCGTCACAGGGGACGACCAAACAACACGCCCGCCCATGCCACCCTCGGGCTGACCCTCGACGCACGGGGCTGTAGGGTCAAGCCTGGCCTGGACCGGAAGTGCACCATTGCCACCATTGCCAAACCTGGGTGCAACAGCTGGAGGAGCCGAACTATGTGGACAGCCATCCGGACAACTCTGGCTGTCGGCGGCCAAATATACTTACTGGGCGACTCCGCTGCCAGTGAGTACACGCTACGTGCTCTTACAGTGCCAAGTGTAGTTTTAGTTGGGCGCCGTGGGCACCTGTAGCCCTGTGCTTGGGAGGTATGGCTCACAGAGTGCGAGGGTCGATCTCGGCTCACGCCTCCGGCACGGAATATGTAGAGAACCACCAAGAGGCATCGGTCAAAATTGTATCCGAAGGACCCTCGATCTCAAACAGCAGGCAACAAGTCACATCGAGGGGGAGCCCAGTCACACACCTTGTATTTCCAATTTATTTATCCTTCAACACTCTCTCTCACAATGTAAAATCAATTGCATCAATAATAATTTTGGGGGAAAATCTTGTCCCGGTGTGTCTATAGCAGCAGACCTGTCAGGATCACACAAATTACAGGGCAAATATCCAAGGCCATGGAAGACAAGCACCAATGAGTTTGCACAAGAAACACATCGTTGTAATCAAAGCTCTCAGAGGGTAACGAGGCAAAATAAATGACACGAGCCATGAGGACAAGGCAAGGCTAGAATCAATCTCCCATTGTCGTATATGAAATGAATTGATATCAACACAGTAAATCTGGATTTGAACAACACAAATCAAATGCAATTTAAGTACAGTTCGGGGGCATAAAAACAACGTAAAGGCAAGATCTACCATGGGTGAATGCACTTTTGATAACATTCCAAATCTATTCCTATTAACCCAGGGCCACGTCAGCGCTCAAGCAATGATCAAATGGCATTTATGAGTGGGCAAGGAACTTGTCATCGCGCGTCCCTCGAAGCCCTATTCGGCCATAAGGGAAAGGCCGCCGCCCCCCCCGCCATCCATCTTTCCGTTATACAAGTGGTTAAGGTGCGAGTTCACGTGTGGCGGCCCGCCAAATGTATCCTATTCCTATCCAAGCCCTCCGAAAGACCCCACTCAAGCCTCACACCGCTGGTGCCCACCCTCCCCCCCCCCCCTCTAGCGGGCGTCACACGATATAGTCCTCGAGCAGCGGCTCGCCGTCTAGGATGCGCATGGGCGCGAGACGGCGCAGGTCGAGCGTGGTGAGCTCCCCGTCGGCGAGGATCTCGGCGGCGGCGCGCCCCGCGGCAGCCGCGTGCTGCAGCCCGTGCCCGCTGAAGCCGCCCACGTGCAACAGGTTGGGCACCTCGGGCAGGAAGCCGATCACCCCGTTTGAGTCAAACTCGTTGTGCTCGTAATATCCGGCCCACGCGCTGCGCACCTGGCGGTGGGAGGGGGGGAGGGGGGGGGGGGAGATGCGAGGGAAGGGATGCGTAGGCGCAATGGGACTCGAGCCACAAGGGGTGGTCGTGAAACGACGCGGCGGTAACACGTTTGCCGCTTGTGGTTTGCGGTGAAGCCGCCTTAGTGATCTGGACCACGCCAACCTGCATGGTTCAAGAGCCAGGCCAGCTTGAATTTCAGAGATCATGGGAAATGCAGCATGAGCATGCGGGCCGTGACACTGGTACGATTTTAAAACATACACAACAATTCTGAAAGTAGTGCAGTGGTTAGCACATTGTGCTACAAGCCCGGCGACATTAATGTAATTCCTGCTCACAGCTAACATCGGCGGTGGATATTTGAACCTGTCCTAGGCCTCCCTTAGATCAACTCGACCTCAAATGGGTACCTTGTGTGGCAACAAATCAGCACCGGAGAGACAAAGGCGGGCCAGGCATGGTGTTACCCATCCACAGCAGTGCATATTGTGGTGATACCTGCTATGATTACAGCAGTGCATACTGTGGTGGTACCTGCTATGAGAACTGCAGTGCGTACTGACTGTGGTGGTACCTGCTATCATTACAGCAGTGCATAGTCTGGTGGTACCTGCTTTTAAAAAATAAATTGCGCTTGCCAACCGCCAGGCTTACGGCGTGGTACCTGGCAAAACATGTTTTACATAAACCCCACCGTTTGAGAGATAAATCCCTTGCAAGCGCGTGAACACACAGACAGAGAGACAGACAAAGAATGACATATATAAGATGCTCACTAACAGCAGTCTGTTAAAGGTTAAACTGGGGGGGATATTTGCCTCTGCCGCACGTGCTAGCCTCACCTTGAGTGACTGGAATGCCGGCACACGGTGTGCCAGGAGGGGCCACACCTTCTCCTGGAAGTAGTCGTAGTCCACGTCCAGGTTGTCCACGCTCGGCTCCTCGTCCTAGACAACCCCACGCAGCCCGGCCCCAATTACGGATTCACCCGGCGCAAGCTCTCTACGCTCTATTCCGCATCGCCAACCTTATGATCTAAAATGTGTTTATTTATATACCCTGGAGAGCCACACTAAGTTCAAGCACTTTTTTTTAAGAGGGCCCTGTGTTGGGTTTTTATTTGAAGATATTTAAAGGCAATTATTGATGAGTGTTTTGACGTGGGAGGAAAGTGAAGCACCCATAGGAAACCCAAGCGTGCAAGAGGTGGGGGGGGGAGGGGGGGGCAACACTCTATCGTGGTCCAGATGGAAACAGATGGAGATTAGTCCACTTGTTGTATTGCATTCTGCTGGTGAGCCAGAGTATGGCTCCTCCTTGACGCCCATGGGAAGGGAGTTTCCACAGTGCTGGATTACAAGGTCACGTACATAGCCACCACTGCCAAAACATTACTTTGTCCATCACACAAAAAATAAACACGCTCGTCAATAGCACTGCCTTAATATATGTAATAGGTGCTGTTTCGAGCAATGGTTATTTTTCATTGCGCATAAATAAAGCAGGGCCATTTCTCACAACGTCACCTCGTATATATTTCTTTTTCAGGCCAGTGTTATTGACAAATATGTTGACTTATTTGTAAATTGTACTTTTGCACAACTGTCAATACAGTGGAAGCAGCATCAACAAATGATAAGTTTAGTTTTCACCGTAACATTTTAGTGTCAAAAGTACTTGGTCCATCATGGTGAACTTTATCACAGTTAACTTTCTGATCTCTATCGTTTCCTTCACCAATAAGACGGAAATCGTACATCAACACGTGCAGGCCTTTTTGTTAATCCACTGCTGGATAGGGGCCTACCCACGTCGCGCAACATCGTGGGAGTTGTACGGGTTGGTAAAAGCGGGGAGCATACACGTAGAAGCACCGAAGTCGAATATAGCAAATGGATATTGCTACACTGCCTTTTGTTGACAACGCAGGAACCACACCAGCCTTCAGCTCATGTTTTATGTATGTTGAACTTCTTTTGCACCGTACGTAGCCAACCGTGCTAATTTTAGGTGCAATGGTCACCCATTCAAGCACCATCCAAGCTCAACCATGATTAGCTTCAAAGATCTGACGAGAAGAAATTTGAACTGGTGGATCGTTTTTCAGGCCTAAAACCTCCCCACATTCCGACAGCAGCTGAACAGACAGGAAACCCTCGTCATTTGAGAGGCAATTTAAAACGCCGATGCGACGTTCCAAATAGCCAACTCTAAAAATAATACAATTTATAACGCACGCACTGTTGCGGATCGAAGACGCAATTCTGAGGCGCGGAGCCGAGCTTAGTGTCAGATTGCATCGCGCGGTTCCAGGGAGACTCCATTAAATGTTGAGCTGAAGAGATACATTTTTAGATGCTGTTTGAACTAAGATCATTATTTTACGGATGAGAATAGGGATGGCGTTCCAGATGACGGGGGCTACAACGGAGAAATGACAACAAGCAATTACAGTCCTTGTCCTGGGAGTTTCAAGGAGGTTCTCCGTCGCACCGCAAAGATGTTTACAATTCAGGTGTAAGGCATCAGCAGAGAACTTAGGTATGGCGGGTCCCCGGATAATTCTGGTTGAAATGGGAAGCCAATGAAGGGCACGAAGGATGGACAGGGAATCAGGGCGAGGGTTGCAGGGGCCGTGGACAACTCGGGCAATGTGATTTTGGAGGCGTTGGAGCTTATTTTTGTTGCTTATAGTGGACCAGACGAGGACTGAGTTACAGTAGTCAAGCCGCGACCCAACGATGCTGCAGGCGAGTGTATTCGCAATGTTGGAGGTGATGAGCGGACGTAGATAGCGGAGGACCCTGAGATGGTAGTTGCGAGAATGAGGTTGATATGGATGTCAAAGAAGAGAGTGAGATCGAGAGTGACGCGGAGAAATGTCAGATGGTCGGAGAACGGAACGAAGCGATTGAGATGACCGATTTCTCCTCACATTCGTAACAGTATTGCGTCTGCACCGAACCAAACATTTATTTCGTTTCATTCATCTTCCATTGCATTATTATGGCCATGAGCTCGATGAGGACGAATGCACAGGCGTTAGTTAAAACATGTGCGCGTACCGGTGGAGGAGACATGCCCCCGATGTAGTTGCCTGTGATGCCCTCCCTCCTGAAGTAGGCCCCGCTTGGGTCCACAACGAGGGGACAGTCCAAGCCCGGCCCATCGGGGCAGTGGAACACGTACACGTACCTGGGCCAGCGGCGGGCGGCACCACCACCACGGCATCACCACGCCGCAGTTACATCACCGTCAGGCCAAGATAAAAGCAGCGCACTGCAAATACTTCATCACACCAACGCTTGCAGAAGTTTGCCCCCTCCAGAAGATTATTTTGGCCTAATTTTCCATGCTGGCCAAACATCATGTGTATCCACACTTGTGCATCAAGAGGCTGGGGTGGTAATTTAATAAACCTGTCAAGTTTATTTTCTGCAGCGGCAGGTGACTGAACCGGTGGCTTCTGGAAGTCGTGTCGCTAACTCACCATTTTGCCTAAAATGACAAATGCCGTTGAATTTTTCGTGCGTGTGTACCGCTGCCAATGCCATTATAGTTTTTTATTTGTGATTTGGGCATTTATACACACACACAGAAAGTTGCCTACCTTCACAAGGGCAAAGAGAACCCGTGAATTTCAAACTATTTTATCTCTCAAGTTCGTTTTTTTACTCTTGAGGAAACACTAAAGTGTGAAGCCTCAAATGGCCTCCGCAGATTCATGAGCCGCACCCCAGGACTGCTACGTGCTTCTAGTGCTCCTACTGCCCCCAGTGATCGGGCAGAGTATGTCAACCAATCAACACTGCAATTCGGAGAGAATTGATATGTTCACATTTCTTGACTATGGAGATGTGCTCATTAAGTACCACGGCTTCCAATGTGCTCAAAACTACGTGTAGATAACCTCACATACACAGTCACTCACGCCACATTGTAGCCGCGATCAAAACCCCGTGCCGCCGCCGCCCCCTCACCACTGTCACCTTTTTCTAGGCCCGATGGGCAGCTGCGGGAGCAGGGGGCCGAACTCGGGCCGCGTGTCTGGCAGGGTGTGGGTCACACGGCCGTACGCGCCCAGGCCCTGCGCGCCCGAGCCCAGGGCGGCCATGCGCGCCACCTGGCCCATCCAAGCGCCCGTCGCGTTCACCACCATCGAGCAGTCCACAGGCTGGTACACGCGGCTGTGGGGCGCCATCACCTGCACCCACGTGCACGTACGCACACACACACACAACACACACGTATACACATGCACACAGACGCACTTACACACACATAACAAAAACACTTGTATATACAAAGACAAAGATCCCCCGTATAGCCTCAACATACTGTTGGGGCAAGTGCTGTCAGCGAGCACCTATAAAGGCCGGCAAGGCACACAAGGGGGTGGGTGGCCAACACCACGCCCGGCCGCCTTTGTATCCCTAGCAGCGATGTTTACACACCGCACCAGGTACTCATTTGAGGCTGAGTCGACCTAGGGGAGGCCCAGGACCAGTTCAGATCATCGTCACTGGTGTTTGCCGTGAGCGGGAATCGAACCCGGGTCGCCAAGTTCATAGTGCAGCGCACTAACCGCTACACCACCGCTCCCCACATGCACACATACAAACACAGGTGGATAGATACTGGTAGATAGCCAGGTAGAGCGGTAGGTGTGTATGCAGGTAGGGAAGTATGTGTGTTGGTGGGTAAATAGCTAAATAGGTGGATGGCAAGGTAGATTGATGTAAAAATAGGTAGATGGGTGACTGGGTAGGTAGTTTACTGTCAGATAGGCAGGAAGCTAGATACACAATTAGGTAGGTGGGTATTAGGTATGTACCAATGCATTGGTTTTGTAAAATTGTAGATTGTATGGATATAATGCAAATGTGTGTTTAGAGGTGCTTAGTTTAGTACTGGTAGCTAGGTAGGGAATTGCATCTGAAGGTACCAGGGTAAGTATGCACTCATGAAGGTGAGCAGGCAGATAAGTAGATGTGTAGTTGGATAGGTTAGTGGGCAGGCAGGTGAATATGTTTGTAAGTACGTAGAGGGGTAGGCAGGTAGGTGGTATTATTGATGGGTGGGTAGGTAGGTAGTGGGGGTAGGTAGTGTGTGGGTAGGTATATAGCTAGGCATATAAGTGGGCAGATAGGTGGGTGCTAGCGCGGGTAGGTAAGTAGATGGGTAGGCAGATGAGTAGGTTGGTAGGTGGGTACGCTGACTTATCAGTGGGTGTGTAGGTAAATGGATAGGTAGGTAAATAGAAGGCAGGTGGGTGGGTAGGTAGGCTGGTAAATGGGTAGGCTGGTGAATGGATGGGCAATAGACTTACATAGACCTTGTGAATGATCGGATTGCTGCTGCTTCCCATCCAATTGGAGAACTTAAACCCTATGACATGGGATAGGGATAAACAATTCCTAACATTACGCATAATGAGACTCACTGCATTCACCATTCTTCCGGTTTCATGTGGGACTGACGAAGGCTCTAACCGCCAAACTAAGGCAAGCCAACCGGGACGTGTGAGCCGAGGAGAAATATCACCACAACAGGCATGCGCGGGCACCTTGTGAAATATTCTGCTCATTGGTGATCTCCTACTGTTGTCGGAGATCACCAATGACCATCGCCAGCAGGGTCATCTACAAGATGTCCTGCATCCAGTCCCTCCTCCACTGGTTTCCTGTTAGCCCCAGCAGAGTCGGCTACAAGATCACCTGCTGCCTGTGCCACCACCGCGCCTCGACTCTCGGTCATCCACCGTGTTGTTTGCTCGCTCCTGTCACCCTGCGATACAGCTCAAGGTGGAACTCTGCAGGAGCGTGACTAGCGCCCTTCCTTCTCGCCACACCAAGAACCAGGACCTGCACTGCCGGGCGTCGTTTCGCTGTGGCAGTCCTCGCCGTCTGCGACACGGCCAGCATCCGCCGCACATTCCCAGCAGCGTTCAATCTACACTGACATTTATCATCATCGTCAAGATCCATGGGCAGATAGGCCGTAGGTGTCCACTGCACATTTTATCATTTATTTCCACTTCTTGTACCAATATTCTCAGGTAGTGGCCACATCTTTCTGGCACCAATCTGTTATGTCGTCATCAAGCCATTCTCTGTTAGGTCTTCCTCTTTTTCCGGTTCCTTCCATGTTTCCGAACAACACACTTTTAATTTTCCTGTTGTTGTCCATCCTACATATCTGTCCAAATAGTTCCAGTTTCCTTCTTATCACTGCCTGCATCATCAAGTCTTCTTCTATGTGCAACCTTTTTATTACTTCTACATTGGTCACTTTGGGTCGAGCTTATATGCAATATCCTTCTGTATAAATATATTTCGAGTGCCAACATCTTAGATACTTAAAAGACCCCACTGGCTCTTGCCTGGTTTTCGAGTGACAATGAGCTTGACTGCGCGCCTCAAGAGTCACGGTCATTTGCGTCCATGAAATATTGCGCGCATTGCAAATTGCACGACTATTATTATTATTAGGGCTTCGTGTAATCCAGTGAAGAGTTACTCGGCGATGTGGGGACGTACCGGTGACCTCGCCGCTGTAGTAGTAGACGCCCATGGAGAGCGCTTTCCTGCGCAGCGCCTGCAGCAGAGCCCAGGGGTCGAACCAGCCCTCGTTCTCCAGCCCTGGCCGAGGTACCGCACCGTCGTGACAGCCACATCACCGTCAGCGAGTTCCCGTTGGGGGTGACGATTGCATTCACAGGGCACGTTCGTTCAATGCCTCGACAACTCGAGGCGCCTTGCATCAATGTCTAATCGCAACCACGCCGATGCTCTTCAGTCATCTAGCCAAGAGAGCTCCTGGTGGCAGGTGACGCCGTGCGGCACACGGTGAATGCACCGCCGGCCTGAACGAGGGAATTAGTCTGCCAGGAGCAGGCACTGTTGTAGCTCTGTAGCGTTTCCCAAGCAATTTGTAATTAATTACATTTGGCAAATTTGGACCCTGACACCGGCATGCATATATGCAAACTGTCATTAAAAAATGTAATCAGTAGAAGAGAACCCTCCTAAAAAAGGGTCTTGAGACTCTGTGAGGTTTTCCTGGATACATTTGTCGATTTAAATTAATTCTGTAACATATTACTGTTTAGCAAACTCGCCCAGCAGTGAGTTGGCTGACTGCTAAGTTACCAAGTTGCGTTGGCTGCGGAGAGGGGGGGACTGTTGGACTGCCGATTGGCACGCGTAACGATCCAGCCCTTGCACGCCATTTGATTGTTATGTTTGAGGGTCACCGGTGCCTGTCTTTTTCTAGACCTGTCCAAAGCTTTTGATACAGTAGACCACAACACCCTGCTTAGTAAACTAAGTTGCCTCGCTTTTTCCGAAAACGCAGTAAAATCGCTACAAAATTACCTCTTTTCTCGCACCCAAACTGTATTCACAGATGGTTGGAGGTCAAACAGTGTTAAGATAACAAAAGGGGTTCCACAGGGTTCCATTCTCGGCCCCGTTTTGTTCTCTCTTTATGTAAATGACTTGGGCACTGACCTGGATCATTCCAGGGTAAATCTTTTTGCAGATGACACGATACTGATTACTGTTGGCCGCTCTCCGGATGACGTGATTGCTAAGCTGCAGGGTGATTTCAACTACAACATCAGCTAGTTGCTCTTAAACTAGTCCTGAATACCTCCAAAACCAAGGTGCTATGCTTCTCACCAGGACTAAAGCAGGAAGTTATTTTCCCCAATTACATTCCTTAAATAATTATCAAATAGAGCAAGTCAAGCTCTATAAGTATGTTGGGGTCGTCCTGCTTTCAAAACTGAACTTTTGAAGATCACATTGATTATATTGGTAAAAAGACAAAAATAAAAATTGGTTTTCTGTATTGACACAAGCACTGCTTCCCCCAATGTTCCGTTTGGAATTAATAAAAGCTACCATACTGCCTCTACTTGACTACTGTGACAACGTGTATAAATCAGTCCCAAGTACTGTACTGAAGAAGCTTGATTCCATCTATCACTCGGCCTTAAGATTTATATTGAACTGCCCATACAGGACTCACCACTGTGATCTCTACATTGGGTCAAACTTAACATATCTGAATGCTCGACGGCTTGTACACCAGATCTTATTTATTCACGATGTACTTACAAAAAAATCCGCAGACTACCTGCTGGATCGCCTCTCTGTTTCAAAGAACAAATTTGACCTCAGGTCTTCGCTCATTTACCAGCTTCATATTCCCTATTGCCGTACAAAACTGGAGGAAGGGCCTTTGCTATTGATGCCCCCAGGGTCTGGAATACTATTGCCAATAAACTGCAACTTGAATCGCTACCAATGAGATCGTCTCTCAAAACTGCTCTGGAGGAGTTGTACACCCCTAGCTGCCACTGCTATTCATTGGCGTAAAATAAAATAAAATGTTTCGCTCCGGATGACGCTGCAAAGTATTATCTGTATTTTGATTTAGCGTGCTGATACTCCGACTGATGCTTCTGTTGTTGTGGAGTAACTCATGCAGCCAGCTGTGGCTCTAGGATTTGGTGTTACATGTTATTTATGTAGTTAATTGTAAAAATTCGGTCACAGTCCCTGTGATCACTGTTACGTTGCAATTATGGCTTTATTTTTTGGTGATTTCGAAAAGTTTTTTGGTTTGGACATGTTTGTATTGTTGTAGTGCGGAGTTAGACTGATGGCCTTAATCTAAGTTTTCTTGTGGTTATTGTTGTTGTTGTTTGACTTGCATCCCACTGGGATTTTTTGCACACAGCGTTGGTGTACGGTGCTTTTTTCAGGAATATTTTGCTGGTTTTTTTCATGGATTTTCTGTTTGCACAGTCACATAGTCACTTTAAGATGTTTTTCTTGTTCGTGTTTTTGTTTTTTTGTTTGTTGCGGTTGCACCCGATTCAAGAGCCGAATGGCTCACAGGGCTATACCAAAATAAATAAACTGAAAACTGAAACTGAAAAAAGTTGCATATTTACGTAATCATTTGTATCGTTTCTTGTTTGTGTTTGAGCCATTCCATGAGTCTAAAGGTCAAAATGTCAAATATTTGACATGGAATTTGCATGAATTGTAGATTATTGGTGACCATACCACATGTTCCAGGATCAATGTTAATCATTGGACTGATGAACTTGTTACAAACGAAGCAGGCAGTGCATTACCATATGTAGCCAAGGCGATTCCCTCTGTGTTGATCCAGGGGAACTTGGTCTTAAGCTGGGTAGGTGAGAGGAGATCCACCTTGCATTTCTCTCTCCTGTGAGCACCAACACAGCATGGTGAGGCCACGGATACCAGCCCCGTAGATTCCTCGGTGCCGCAATAAACTAATAATAACAAATATTTGACAGAAGTCTACTCAGCCTATCGTCTCTCTGGGGTTCACATAATAAATTATTACGTGGGAAATCAACAGTGAATCATCAAATCAACAAACTGGCATCTGCCACTGGAATGTAAACTCTTCTACTATTTCAATGCCCATTTGGGCAGGGAGACAATTTAGCTCGTCCTGTCTTTTTAAAAACCTAATCTAAACCATCTTGAAGTAACGTTCTACGGACCACTATACAGGCATATCAACGGCAGCGCAGAAACAACTGTTCACTCGAGGGGGCAATGCAGCACACACACAAGTCCCCTGCAGCAGCCACAGCCACGCACGGGAGAGGCCCTGTGCCGGGCTACGTGGCCACTGCCTGTCTCTGCAGGCCACAGTTTCTCTCACAGCAGATTGCGGTGTTTCTCCTCCATGGCCGCTGCCTCCTTTTCGCTGGCCAGCATGAGGTATCCGGATGGGTTGAAGAACACCTCGGGGGGGTCCTCACCCGGAATGGTCAGGTGGTCCTGCAGCAGTTGACAGACACAGGACTCGATGGCAGCAGCAGCGGAAAGCGACGGAAGGGACAGTTCCACAAATTTGGCAACCTCGCAGGGGAAAATGTGAAAATCACATATGATAGTTTTCGAAAATATGCCTTATTTATGGAACGAGTCAACGGTCTGACACAAACATTACTACTATAATAAGCCAAGAATGTGTGTGTCCCGTGCGTGATGTCACTCCACATGAGGCCCACCCCTCCCACGTGACATCACTGCACATGAGGCCCACCCCCCTCATTAATATTAATGAGTGGGTGGATTTTTACACTTACGCAGGTCAAGCGGGAAAAAACTACAAATTTTGCAAATTCGCTTTAAGTTTGACGTATCTTTATTGAAAGTGAATCTAATAAATAATTATGCGCATCAACAAAGTGGATTTGGTGTCTTTATTTATTTCTTCAGCCCTTGAGACAAAAGGTAAGTCTTCTACATTATGCTAAATTGACATTTCTTCGTGATTTTCCAGATATTGTTTCGAATTCAAATTTATTTGAACCCCAGCGACCGAAAGCAGAAGTATAGAGCAGTGATTTAAAGCTTTCGTGACTGCAGTAATTCATATTCTTAGCTCTTTCGGTAAAGTAACGTTAATAAAATAATATATAATAATATGTATTATATATTTTATTATTTAATATATATTTTTTTATTTTATTGTTTCCCTTCAACGTGACTTTACCGAAAGAGCTAAGAATATAGAGCAGTGAATTTGAACAAATTGAAGGTCAGTTATATACAGTGCTACAGTGAACTGCAGTGAAGTATTTTATGACTTCGTTTTGTGCCAGATTCACTGCCATTAAATTTACACAAGATACAATTGTATCTGGCTCAATTTTTCCATAAATATTACAGCTTCCATCCTAGGAGGGGCAAACAAACGGTATGACACAGTGAGGGAAAAAAGTATTTGATCCCCTGCTGATTTTGTACGTTTGCCCACTGACAAAGAAATGATTAGTCTACAATTTTAATGGTAGGTTTATTTGAACAGTGAGAGACAGAATAACAAAAAACAAATCCAGAAAAACGCATGTCAAAAATGTTATAAATTGATTTGCATTTTACTGAGGGAAATAAGTATTTGACCCCTCTGTAAAAAATGACTTAGTACTTGGTGGCAAAATCCTTGTTGGCAATCACAAAGGTCAGACGTTTCTTGCAGTTGGCCACCAGGTATGTACACATCTCAGGAGGGATTTTGTCCCACTCCTCTTTGCAGATCTTCTCCAAGTCATTAAGGTTTCGAGGCTGACGTTTGGCAACTCGAACCTTCAGCTCCCTCCACAGATTTTCTATGGGATTAAGGTCTGGAGACTGGCTAGGCCACTCCAGGACCTTAATGTTCTTCTTCTTGAGCCACTCCTTTGTTGCCTTGGCCGTGTGTTTTGGGTCATTGTCATGCTGGAATACCCATCCATGACCCATTTTCAATGCCCTGGCTGAGGGAAGGAGGTACTCACCCAAGATTTGATGGTACATGGCCCCGTCCATCGTCCCTTTGATGCAGTGAAGTTGTCCTGTCCATTAGCAGAAAAACACCCCCAAAGCATAATGTTTCCACCTCCATGTTTGACGGTGGGGATGGTATTCTTGGGGTCATAGGCAGCATTCCTCCTCCTCCAAACACGGCGAGTTGAGTTGATGCCAAAGAGCTCCATTTTGGTCTCATCTGACCACAACACTTTCACCCAGTTGTCCTCTGAATCATTCAGATCTTCATTGGCAAACTTCAGACGGGCATGTATATGTGCTTTCTTGAGCAGGGGGACCTTGCGGGCGCTGCAGGATTTCAGTCCTTCACGGCGTAGTGTGTTACCAATTGTTTTCTTGGTGACTATGGTCCTAGCTGCCTTGAGATCATTGACAAGATCCTCCCGTGTAGTTCTGGGCTGACTCCTCACCGTTCTCATGATCATTGCAACTCCACGAGGTGAGTTCTTGCATGTAGCCCCAGGCCGAGGGAGATTGACAGTTCTTTTGTGTTTCTTCCATTTGCGAATAATCGCACCAACTGATGTCAGCCTTGTGTAGGTCTACAATCTTGTCCCTGACATCCTTGGAGAGCTCTTTGGTCTTGGCCATGGTGGAGAGTTTGGAATCTGATTGATTGCTTCTGTGGACAGCACACTCTTAAAGGGAGTGCTCCTAATCTCAGCTTGTTACCTGTATATAAGACACCTGGGAGCCAGAAATCTTTCTGATTGAGAGGGGGTCAAATACTTATTTCCCTCATTAAAATGCAAATCAATTTATAACATTTTTGACATGCGTTTTTCTGGATTTTGTTGTTGTTATTCTATCTCTCACTGTTCAAATAAACCTACCATTAAAATTATAGACTGCTCATTTCTTTGTCAGTGGGCAAACATACAAAATCAGCAGGGGATCAAATACTTTTTTCCCTCACTGTAGAAGAGAGGGAACTGACCATCAGCATTCCCAGCAAGTCAATTTCTTTCAAGTACGTCCAACACCTGCGGTATATTACCATTGCTCCAATATCAACAGGGCACCATGGTGGCGAGATGTGAACTACCTCGCGTAGTATGCAGGACGTCGTGGGTTCAATCCCAACCCTGACGCCTGCATATTTGGAGTTTGCATGTCTCTCTCCCCGTGGTTGCGTGGATTTTTCTCTTCCGAGTCCTCTGGTTTTTCCCTCCACACTTAGAAACATGCGTTTAGGTTATTTGGCTGTTATACATTTGCACATGATAAGTCACTTAGCTGCCCTCTCATTTGTGGTCAGGTCGCTTCTGAAAAAGAGCTATATCGCCCAGTGGACCTTACCTGATAAATTGTAAAATGAGTTTAATGAATATGGATACATTATTTTTTATCTGAATAACAGTCTATATCGGTTCGCATACTATGCCCACGTACCAAGCTGCTTCCTATGTATTATACCGACAGCTGTGTACCTTGATGTTGCGCAGAAAGAAAGCCCCGTACATGGACATGTGGATGTTTTCGGGGAGGCTGAACTGCTGCCGAATGCCACCCACAGCAAGCACGGACGACGCACGCTTGTACTGGAGGCAAAAGCGTGGAGACAGAGCATTCAGGACATTATTTTGCATGGCAGCAATATGTTCAAGAGATAAATTCCAATGTTGAGGTCTTCTAGCCACGGCGAGAGGGCTTCGGGAGTTTGTGTAGTTTTGCTATTCCTCTGTTGAAGGAGCGTGGCCTACAGTGGTGTTATATATGGTACTCTTCAACATATCTCGATCTAAATGTTGAACTTCTTTCACACCATACATAGCCATCCGTGCTAATCAGAGACAAATGCACTAATATATGGGTCTCTATGTATTTCTACGGGTCTCTATGTATCTCTGTGTCTCTATGCACATCTACGGGTCTATTTAGCTCCACGTCTCTATGGGTTTACTATACGGCCCATAGTTTATGGTTGTACGGCCACAATCCCACTGTGCCTTGTCCCCAATTTGACGATCATGAAGGAGCTGAGTGCATCGGTCTGTTGATGCTCTGATGCGGTTGGTGGCTACATCGGCAACCATCTCGAATGAGGCGTCTATTCTGGACGTCCACATATCACTCAAGTGGGATACTAACAGAGGAGGAGGAATCATCATCCCCCGCCAGCAATGTCCATAGGCACAGCTGCCACTGGGGGTGCCCTTTCTAAATATTTGATCACAGATTTGACGTTTCGTGACTGCGGTGGATCAATACTCCTTGGTTCTTTCGGTAAAGTCACGTCGGTATAAAATACAATTAATTGAATTTATTTTACAAGGAGTATTTGAGTGTCACACTTATTCAGTGCGGGGTTGTGAAGGCATGGAAGCATAGACGAGGGAACACAGAGGGACGAGTACGAGAATGGAATTTTGCTGCGCTGCCTGTTCAGCCAGGAGGGGGGGGTCAACTCCTCCGGGTCCAGGCCGGGGTCTCGACCCCTGCGTGACCCCCCCAACCCCCTGCCCCCGCTGGCCTTCGCTCCCCACCTGGGGGTCTTTCTCCACGAGCAGGACGCGCTGGCGCTTGCGCAGCGTGGTGCCCTTGCGCGCCAGCCAGTAGGCCGTGGACCAGCCCATGACGCCGCCGCCCACCACCACCACGTCCGTCTCCTCGGGGGGCAGCTCGGGCAGGTTCGCGTCGCCGCACACGGTCGGCACGTCGCCCTCGGGCAGCAGGGCCGCCACCTTGGTGCGGACGCTGTCCCAGGCATCGCCAACGCCGGCGGGGGTCCGTCGCCACGAGCTGAGGCGGCACACTGGACCCGCGAGCGGAGGAGGAGAAGGGGAGGAGACCACGGTCTCGCCTAGCCGCCCCGCCGGCTTCGGGGCCACGCTGCCCGGCAGCAGGAGGCGGCCGAAGGGGGTGGCGGGTCGGGCGGTGGCGCGCACCGCGCTCGAAGCGGCGACCGCGATGGCCCAGCTCATGGCGGTGTCGTGGAGAGTTCCTTCTTGTCGATGCGTGGATGTGGATATCGCAGTGAAGCGCGTTACAAAGCGTTACCCATTAACGTATCCGTGTAAACTATTGACGTATTGGAGCGCGCTGGTTGTGTTATATTTATTTTTTGTTGTTGTTGTTGCAACTTGTGAGGTTGGTGATGGTTGCTGCTGTGCCGCCTGCCGTTGTTCGCGAGCTTGTTGCGGCCGTGATGTAATTTAGTTGTACACTACTCCTGACAGCGCGACACCAACACGCGTGTTTCACTGACAGTACAACACAACACGTGTGTTTCACTGAGTACAATACCAACACGTGCGTTTCACTGACAGTACAACACAACACGTGTGTTTCACTGACAGTACAACACAACACGTGTGTTTCACTGACAGTACAACACAACACGTGTGTTTCACTGACAGTACAACACAACACGTGTGTTTCACTGACAGCGCTACACAACACGTGTGTTTCACTGACAGTACAACACAACACGTGTGTTTCACTGAGTACAATACCAACACGTGTTTCACTGACAGTACAACACAACACGTGTGTTTCACTGACAGTACAACACAACACGTGTGTTTCACTGACAGTACAACACAACACGTGTGTTTCACTGACAGCGCTACACAACACGTGTGTTTCACTGACAGTACAACACAACACGTGTGTTTCACTGAGTACAATACCAACACGTGTTTCACTGACAGTACAACACAACACGTGTGTTTCACTGACAGTACAACACAACGTGTGTTTCACTGAGTACAATACCAACACGTGTTTCACTGACAGTACAACACAACACGTGTGTTTCACTGACAGTACAACACAACACGTGTGTTTCACTGACAGTACAACACAACACGTGTGTTTCACTGACAGTACAATACCAACACGTGTTTCACTGACAGTACAACACAACACGTGTGTTTCACTGACAGTACAATACCAACACGTGTTTCACTGACAGTACAACACAACACGTGTTTCACTGACAGTACAACACAACACGTGTGTTTCACTGACAGTACAACACGTGTGTTTCACTGACAGTACAATAACACGTGTGTTTCACTTACAGTACAACACAACACGTGTTTCACTTACAGTACAACACGTGTGTTTCACTGACAGTACAACACAACACGCGTGTTTCACTTACAGTACAATACAACACGTGTGTTTCACTGACAGTCCAACACAACACGTGTTTCACTGACAGTACAATACCAACACGTGTTTCACTGACAGTACAACACAACACGTGTTGTGTTTCACTGACAGTACAACACAACACGTGTGTTTCACTGACAGTAGAACACAACACGTGTGTTTCACTTACAGTACAATACCAACACGCGCGTGCACGGCCATGTGTGTTACTGTACAGGACAGGCCTCGGAATCGTTAATCGAATCGCAATTGCACAGCGCGATTCAGATTCGATTTTTTTCTTACACATTTTATCATACAATTTCAACACGCTTCCGCGCAAACAAACGGTAGTTAACATCGTTTAAGCCAGCTTTAAATAAAAGAACAATTGCAATCTTGACCACCGGATAGGTATTTGCGAGTGATGTCATTCAGAGGAAATCGCTGCCTGGATCGATGACTAACTTTCACGATGCGACGATTCCACACGGAGCGGGAGGCGTGGCCGGATTGCCGTGCCCCAATGACCTCATTGGGTCTTAATGTTGAGGCTGCAGCAGGAATCTGATGAGCTATGAAGCTCTTTATTCACAGATGTCCAGTTGAGCAGGGGGTCAGAACGTTAGAAAGCACAATAGCAGTGCAAAGTATAGGAAATGTAAACAAATCACTTAACAAAAATAGATACACATTTTTGGGGGGTATTTTTACAATGGAAAACTATTGAACTTCTCACCCAGAATCAGAATATTTATCCTGGAGGAATCCGATGAACTAGAAAGCTCTTTATTCACAGGTGTCCAGTAGAGGAACGGGGTCAGAACGTTAGAACAACAACATACAATACAAAAGCACAATAGCAGTGCAAAGTATAGGAAAGGGTAAACAGATCGCTTTAAAAACTATACAAATAAAACGAAACTATGTTTTAATATTACCATGTTAAATGTATTGACCCCCCCGCCCCAACCCACCCAGTGGTGGGGTTAGGGTCACTACCCAATCTCCCGATTACACAGAGCTGGACTCAAACACATTTGTAAATAACAGTGACCTCAAAAGGAACAAAAAATATGAGGGCCATTGTCCGAAACGTCTGCTGTTATGGGCCTTCTTCATAGCACGATGTGCTGTGAACAAGGGCCATTGCCTGAAACGTCGCCACGTGTTTTTTGTTCCTTTTAAGGCCACAGTGTTATTGACTAATGTGTTGAGATGTGACGATTATCTGAACCGGTCCTGGGCCTCCCCTATGTCGACTCAGCCTCAAACGAGTACCTGGTGCGGTGATGTGTAAACATCACCGCTATAGGGAGACAAAGACGGCCGGGCGTGGTGCTGGCCACCCACCACCTCATAGGTGCTACTCGCTCACGGCACTCGCCCCAAAAGTCTGTTAAGGCTACACGGGGGATCTTTGTTATATGCGCACCACTGCCAACGCAGCAGCAACATCGCCGAATGATTGAATGTACCGGATTATCCACTGCTGGATGAGCACCTCCCCAAGCCGTTGCGGGTCGTCGAGGCTTGAATTTAACCATACTTCACTTAGCCGCGCGGGTTCGTTAAAGTAGTGGGATACGCAGAAAAAAGGTGGGATAATGCCACTGTAGGAGAGCACAGGTCATCCATAATAAAGTAGGGGTTTTTTGGGGGTTAGGTCGCGTAAATATAAATGTCTCGTTAAAACCCGCCACCATCCGACACGGTCAATTAGTAAGGCTTGTGACGTAAATAGAACGTGCCAATTAGTTAATACTTCAGCACACCGGTGTGCTGGAGAGTAAACCCGCAACATTTTAGTTATTTTTTTACACGCTTTCTATTAACTCACTCTATCTGTTGTTGTATCCTCAAATTTTGCAACTCAATTTTAACCCACTTCCCAATGTGGTATCGACTGCAAACGTGGTATACTTATGTCTTACTGATGACAATACTGTATTCTATCATTACAAATAAAATATATATTTTTAAACATTATTTTTTAAATGTTATGTTTCGCCTTGGGTCTAATTGTCCACGGTAAACTGACGTTGGCTGTAAATCACCACGGGTCCCCTTACGTTGTGGCAAGCTTCGGGGCCACTTCCTAGAGTCGTGGAGTTCTTCCATTACTAGTAGGGTACATTTCATTAAAGCGTGTTTAAAAAAAAAGGTTTTTTATATTATTTTTTCCTGTAAGCTCTCACCGACTCTCAAATAATTTGTAGGGGGGCAGGGGGTGGGGGTTGTCCCGTATAGGGAAGTTTATCTGCTGTCATTTATAAAGTAGAGTAGAGCCCTCTTGTGCAGAGCCTTAGCTGGACATTTGAAATCTGTAAAAAAGGGCTTCATGGCTCATCGGATTCCTCCAGTATAAATAAATATTGTGATTCTGAAGATGGCATCCTCACAACGCCCCCCCCACCCCCGTCCTTCCCCCCATCCCCCCCAAAGCTCAACCTCTGACCTATGTGCTGTGAAGAGGGTTGTTTGGTGGATCGAATACATGTTGTGAATCTCCTTTATCCGTGGGCTTCGAGGTTTTAACTACCTCGCCTGCTTTACAGGAGGTCGTGGTTTCGATCTGTTATATATTTGGAGTTTGCGTGTTCTCCCTCCACGTGGTCGCGTGTATTTATCTCCGGGTCTGCCGTGTTTTCGCTCCACGTTTAGAATCAACACACGTTTAGAGTACGTGGATGCTATACATGTCCACGTGATAAGCCACTTCGTTGAGCTATCATTTGTGGCCGGGCCGCTTCTGAAAAAGAGCCTTACAGCTCAGTGGGCCTTAACCTGGTCAAATAAAAAGTGTAGTCATACACTGGCTCACAAGGAGAAGTCAATAGAGCAAACACGTGGGCTCCACATGTGCCGGATGTATGGGATAGAGGGTTTCCCCCTCGCACGCGTGAGTTTTGTCCAGGTGCCCCGGTTTCCTCCTACATGTATAAACACTCAGTATTATTGGCGCTGGTTCGCCATGTGTCTGCCTTGGGGGCCGTCCATAAGTGACGTCACGCACCTAGGGGGGGGGCAGACATTTGTGACGATGTGTGACGAGGGGGGGGGGGAGGTGAGAAATGTGACGTCACATCAAAATGCGCAACTTTAAATATAGACAACACGTTCTACTTAATTAAATATACTTTTTAAATAAATGTTTTCTCCTACAACATCAGAGCGCAGCGCCACATTAAATACGCACTACAATATCATAAGTTTAAAACGATTTAAAGCATGTTTTATATTTTTTTTGGGGGGGGGGGCAGAGCTTTGTGACGTCATATTTTAGGGGGGGTCTGACTTTTTGTGACGTCGTGTGACGAGGAGGGGGGCGGGGTGTCAAAAATCGTGTGACGTCATTTACGGACGGCCCCTTGTCTGTGGTTCCTCCTCGCGCCTCTTCGTCGTCATCCTCTATGAGTGTGGTGCAGTGCATTACAAGTTGAAATTATTATTTCCAAAACATCACTTGTCATGTACTTTTTTTTCTTTTTTTAAGGCCACGGTGTTGTGACAAACGAGTTGAGTGTTGTGCGTGTGTGTGTTATTTCTGCTTGTGCAGGCGCAGCAGCAGAAATCACCAAATAATTTGCCCAGATAAAGGCGAGAAAAAAAACAATGGCCATTTGCTACAAGTTCGTTGTTCAACTGAAGGATATCTGTCGGAAGGACACATCACGGAGTATGCATCCCCAAGGCAGTTATTTGAAAGTGGACCGGTCTCATAACGATGACAATACAGTGGTGAACGCTTTTGGGGAAAATGTTACATTCTAATGCAGAGCAACATAGCAGTGTGCCTATATAAGAAGAAGGTGTTCCATCATAATAGAGCGCCTGTCATAATTACCGAAGAAGACACTGAGTGTACTGCGAGCGATGGTTTCAAATAGACACCGCAGCCCTGTTATGTTGCCGCTCGCCGTTTCCTCCCCGCTCGCGTGAGCGTTGTGATGGTGCTCCGAGCAAGAGTCAAACAGCCCACGTTGCCACAGCTGGGGAGACGTAGTCTCGTGCGAGTCACTTAAACACTCATGAAGAGGGTCCTGTCAGAAGACGTTTTGCCAAATACCTCCTTGCTGCTGAGAAATACTTGTGTGTACAAAAGGAGGGAACCCTAAATAGCCGGACATGGCCACGCGCGAGTATAAACAACACTCAAATATTGGAAGACGTCAACAGCCTCCTTTCTGTACTGTCTTCTCCTGGGAGCTCCAGGATGGACCATCCGTGCCCCCACCGTGCCAAGATCTGCAGGTCACGGATTGGCCTATTCACCCATGGCCAGCCAGGTCCACCTTACAACACAGATAAGTGACAACCTGGAGGGAAATCATACTCGACTACGAGTGATCCCAGAAGATCCCCTGGTGTCGCAGGTAGGTGTTTCACTCACGAAGATGATCTCCTCTGTGATTCACAATCCATGCCCGCCAAGTAGAGGACTTCAGGTGCCCTCCATGCGTTGCTACAACCGCACTGGGGACACGTGCCGCGGAATGATTTACCCTCTGGTGATTCCATCGTTCATCACGACTCGGGGTCACAGTTCAATTCAAGAATGGATTCTTTGTTTGTCCTGGTTTCACTGTCTCCATTGTTTCTCCTTTGTTCTGCTCAGTGCACCTGGCACTGAGCAGAACAATGCACCAACCCTCTAAATCTTAAGGAAATAATCTGGTTAAGCCAACTGGCGGTTGAATACAGAAATTGAAGGTTTTAGAAACCACAAGTCGAGGCAATGTATGTATTTTGAACTTCTTTAACACCGTACGTAGCCAACCGTGCTAATAGGAGGTGCAACAGCCTCACCTTTATGAACTTTGTGCAGCTTGGCGTATTCATGATGTGGAGTGGTGGTTGGCACATTTGTGCTATGAACCTGGCTAGTGTGATTCTCAGCCATTGCTAACATCAGTGGTGAGTGATATCTGAACCTATCCTGTGCAAAATATTAATTAACTTGCACTCACCGGCATGGTGAAGCAAGGTCGAATAACCTCCATGTAACACAATGTTTGCAGCTATTTTCCACATCAATGTCAACCCACTAATATCAAAATCTGTTCAACAGTTTTTAATCATCAGCAGCCAGGACTATCCACTGCTGGATGTCTATCCACTGCAGTTTATAAACCCAAATTAAAAAATGTTACATCCATCGTAACAATTTATGTTGTTAAAACAACTGTAGTTTTGGTACTTGCTAATTAAGTGGCAATTGATATGACATTGCAAAGTAATAAATGCAAAGATGATCACACCTATAGGTTTTTAAAATTATAGATTACATTGGTGATTACGTTTTATGAAAACACCTTGATGCACGTAAGCAGCTGTGAGCATGTTACCAAGTTTAAAGTTTATTTTGTTGAACTGGGTGACAACTCAAGAGACCAAGATGAGTCTCTCTTTTGCAAGCGTGACCTGGGGTTACCAACAATGACAAAAGCAAAAACCCAGTCAAATAAAGTACAGCAATGAAGCGAATAGAAATGAGAGCATATACGGAGTTGACTGCGTTATTGGCTGGACCACATAAAGCAACATTGGGGGCTCCCTGCAAATGTCATGGGGAATTCCTTGGACATTTAAATTACGTGACCAATTATGATGTTGATATAAGAAACACGTGATCGATGTTTTTTTTTTAACGGCACCACGTGTTTTTTAACGGCACCACGTGTTAAAACGCCAAATAAATTCACACAATCATTTAATTGCAAGGCCATTCAAAACGGACATGCATGATGTAGGTTTAATTTAATGCAAATGTAATCATGGTAAATGATGATGAAACTTTATGCTGCTGGAGGAACTTTTAATAGAGGGGGCCATTGTTGCCAATTCACCTAGGTCTGGACCCAATACCACTTGAGTCTGCCACCTTTGAGGTCCACAAAAACCTGGAAATGTCAAGGGAAGAAGAATAACACAATACCGAAAGACAGGAGAACAGCGTGTGATGTCCCAAGAAGACTTAGAGACCGCCAGTGATGATTATCTCAAAAAGCGCTCACAGTGGGAGAAGCCCATTTCCTTGCACATTCGGTGCCACGATTACACCTTAGCCATGTTTTTCATTCCGTGCTCTGACTGAACCCCTTTGCTCCCACGTGCCGTGTTCACTCGTATTTCTCTATCCGTTTTCTCAGGTTTCCTTGGCTCCCACCCTCCAGTTTTTCCAGCTGCAATAAGAGAGAAGAAAGCATGAACGTATTGGAGAAATGAAAACAAACTCGGAAAGCAGCACAGTTACAATGCCTAGCCTACCATCGGGTGAAATACCCCAGACGGCCTATGAAAAACCGGAATACATCATGAGCCTGTGGAATTCGTGCTACTTAAAGTGACCGAATTTCTGGGAGAGAATTTCTGGCCAGCTCCTCCCTCCGCCAGCTCCACCCACTATTAAAATAGCCACGTCCACTCAGTCACTATCCCGCCCACACAGCGCGTAGTGTCCTCCTCACTCAATCTGACTTTGGCCCCACGCACTGTTCATGGGTCACGTCCACTCCCCCTGCCAACCCCACCCACCACTCCGGTAGCCCCACCCTTTCGCACGCATCACCGGTTGAATAGAGACGCCAGAAAGGACTTAAATCGGGACAATATTCTGGTTTTCACAAATGCTTTGGGACGCCGGGAATGTTTTTTGTGAAGCTGGGACTGTCTCAGCCAAACCGGACCATGATTTATTTTAAGTATGTTGAATTTCTTTCGCGCCCTACATAGCTAACCTTGTTAATCGGAGGTGTGGCAAGACACTGGGTTTTTAATTTTTTTTAATGTACCGCTGAATATTTATTCCATTAAACACGTGTCGCAAAATCAACATGACGGATACCAATTTACACTGAAAAATATAAATAATCTACTCACTGACAGAATAAAACGTCATACATCCTATATTTATTTTCTGAATAAACGCATTTATGATGCAGTGGATGCGAACAAAAACTATAGAACTGAGCTACATGTGACAAATTCCATCCTATCAGAGACTGCTTTAATTAGGAAGCTACTGCAAAAACAGCACATTCATAAAAAGTACACTTACACCAATGGCTGTTAACAGGACACAAACACATTTCAGAAAAATGAAACATCGCTCAAGTTGCACAAAATAAAATAGGGCAATTTAGTTTAGCAAGGATGACGTTATTGCTTCTGCTTGTTAATATACATTTAGTGAGTTTGACGTTTGATTTTTATATTACATTTTGGTAAAAATGTCCAGGACAGAAAATAAATACGGTAGAAATCCAAAAAAGTTGCAATTCAATAGCCCACGAATTCCTGTAATTTGCTGACTATCGGCGGTTCACGAGCGCTCCCATAATCCACGGCGCACTGCGGTGGATCGCAAACCGCGATGCGTAGAAGTGAGCAAGGCTCACGGAGAGCTGCAGAGCCACGCTGCAGCAAGAGCGGAGGTAAGATTTTATTTTTTTTACGAGCAGAGAACCCATTGCACTGCAACGGGAAATAACAGACAGCTGTCATTCATAATCTGATTTTTCATGTTCGGAAATGCCAAGATAATATCTATTGTGTGTTTTTTTATATATATCGTCTAGGATGTAAATACTCTTCTGGTGACAAAATTGCATTAATCGAAAAGTTAGAGCGATTTAAAATGAACCGTGTCAGTCTTCTGTGTTCGTTACTCCCACCTCTTCGATGTCGTTATCTGTTAAACGTTTTCCGAATTTCTTCCGCCTTTTCAATTCAACTTAATGTTTATTTGTTACACTGAAAATCCCGCTTAGCCAGTTACCCAGCTAGTTTCGGTGGCAACGGCCTGTAGCAGACACTTAAAATCGAGTTATTGTTGAGGTGAAGAGGACTCCTGACAGCAGCTAGCCAAGATTTATTGAGTAGAAAAGCATTTTTGCACTTCTAAGATTTTGATATCAGGTCGAAAATGTTTTTCAAAATCGTCTAATATCGATCCAATGTGGAAGATTTTGTTCTTAGAAAAATTGTAGCCTTTCATTCTCGAATTGACCATGGCTTAATTTAGCCACTAGTTACGTGCTTTGCTTCGCCTGTCATCTGCAATTTATTTGTGGATTAATGTAATCGCGTGGCTAATTCCTCCCGTAATCCGTGGCACACTACATCACCGCGGAAGAGAGGTCTTACCTCCGCGGTGCACAGCGGATTACAGGATCCATCATATGGTTCCCCCTGTATCAACATGGATGATTGGATTTTGGCTGTAAAATTATTTCCGATTGGTACAGATATGTACAAGGCAGTGTGAATGATGACGATGACTATGATGAGCGTTGGTTCATTTTCAATTTGATCACTACCTGGATCCCGTCCTTGAAGAACACGAATGTTGGCATGCAGTTGATGCCGAAGCTGCTCAAAAGATCCTGCGTGCAAAGAACAAAAACAAACATCAGAGAGAGAAATAATCTACAATCAGTGAGCCCCAGCCAGTGGAATGTGGAGTGTGTGCAATGCACAATATCAAATAATTATCTCTGCGGTGGAGAATATTCAGGCCATAGAGCATGATGGAAACAAATTCCACAACATGACATTACTTCTGTGAGCAACGTCTAATCACTTTACGCATAACGATCGATGATTTCTTGGCATAAGAGGTAAACCAATACTATATTTTGTATTAGCGTGCATAATTTCATTGTTGATTCCAGCAACAACGCAGACACAGAGGGGAACATACCTACACAAAGCCAACACTGACATTAATCAGGGGCAGAGCCACAGGGGGGGCTGAAATTTTGGGAAAGTCGGTAATCGGGATAACCGGATATCCGGCTGCTGCAAAATGCTGCAGGCTGCCACCTTGTGCTGCCCTGCAGGCTGCCAACTCGTGCTGCCCTGCAGGCTGCTTGAGCGGCAGCCTTTAGAACTTATCGAACTTATTAGCCACATCAGCGGCTCCGACCTATTAATAAACTCCGCGTTCAAATCCAATAAAATTTGTTTTATACATTTGTGGTGCCCATTGGAAAACATGAACACTGGATATCTCAGAATATTGACGTCAGCCCCCCCAAAGTCAAAATCCTGGCTCACCCCCTGACAATAATACCCGTACAAATACCTCAGTTAACCGTATACAAAAATCTCTCGGTGATGAAGGGCATTTCCAGAAACTTCAGCAGTTATATAGATTTGTTTTTCCTTTGAAGGAAGTAGTATTGTTGACCTATTAATAAACTCCGCGTTCAAATCCAATAAAATTTGTTTTATACATTTGTGGCGCCCATTGGAAAACATGAACACTGGATATCTCAGAATATTGACGTCAGCTCCCCCAAAGTCAAAATCCTGGCTCAGCCCCTGACATTAATACACGTACAAATACCTCAGTTAACCGTATACAAAAATCTCTCGGTGATGAAGGGCATTTCCAGAAACTTCAGCAGTTATATAGATTTGTTTTTCCTTTGAAGGAAGTAGAATTGTTGATGAAGGTATTGAGTTCAATTATTGATAACCAGAGGCAACACTTCCAATATTCGCTTAAAGTTAACCACTCAATCACTAACCTTGATATGAACATCATAGCCACGGTCAAATTATCTTCACATTCCTTATTGCCGTACAAATACTGGAGGCAGGACCTTTGCTATTGATGCCCCCAGGGTCTGGAATGCTAGTGCCAATAAACTGCAACTTGAATCACTACCTATGAGATCTTCACTCAAAACTGCTCTAGAGTAGTTGTACACCCCTAGCTGCCACTGCTATTCAGTGGCCTAAAATAAAAATAAATGTTTTGCTCCGGATGGCCGCTGCAAAGTATGATCTTGTGTTTTGATTTAGTGTGCTGATCTTGAAAGGTGCATTGAATTTTTTTTATACCCCTACTGATGCTCCTGCTGTTGTGGAGTGACTCATGCAGCCAGCTATGGCTACAGGGTTTGGTGTTACATGTTGTTTATGTCGTTTATTTTGACATTTCAGTCAGTTCCTATGATCACTGTTACATTGCTTTTATGGCTTTATTTTGGTAATTCGAAAATGTATTTTGGTTTGGCCATGTTTGTTTGTTATAGTACAGAGTTAGAATGATGGCTTTAATCAAAGTTGTCTTGTGGTTATTGTTGTTGTTGTTTGACTAGCATCCCACTGGGATTTTTGCACACAGCGTTGGTGTACGGTGCTTTTTCTGGAAGATTTTGCTGTTTATTACTGGATTTTTCTGTTTGCGCATAGTCACTTTAAGATGTTTTTCTTGTTCGTGTTTTTGTTTTTTTTGTTTGTTGCGGTTGCACCCAATTCAAGAAGAGCCGAATGGCTCACAGGGCTATACCAAAATAAATGAAACTGAAAACTGAAACTGAAATCTGGTGATGCTGCTGACATGATGGCGGTGGTGCACGAGCACCAATAACATTCGTCGTTATCGCTGCGTGGCCTCAAAAGAGATTAACAAAAATATATAATGTTGTTTGGTTCTTTCGATAAAGTCACGTAGATAGAAAATAAAATACAAATAAAAAATATAATTTTATATAAAATATTATTTTTATTTTCTATCTATTATTTTCGATCAAAAAAATATTTTTTATTTTATTTTCTATCTACTTCACTTCACCGAAAGAACCAAAGAAAATGAATTCCTGCAGTCACGAAAGTTTTAAGTAAAAAAAGATATAATAGCTGACGTTCCAGGCAACGGCCCTTCGTAGCACATGCGGCACAGCTGCTGGTTTGGGGATTGCACTTAACGCCATTTAAAGAGAATCACATTTAGTTAGTTACCTATAATAGTAGCTAACGAGTAACAGACAATAACTATCGCCAATCAACTCCCGGCAATACAAAAGCAGATGTTCCACTCACTGGTAATACTCAGTGTTACGGTTAATAATCCTGGCTGGCCATCAGATATTCAGGGCGTATGTGCGCACTCGCATATGGGCACGCGTTTGCAAAGCATGTTCGTGTGTTTAGCATCTTACCGCGGCCTCGTCCACATCGACCTCACAGAACACAGCGTTGTACTCCTCCTTCTCGGCCATTGTCTAAACAGAGGGCACGACCGAAACATTTCCATCATTCGTGATGGCTTAAGGCTACGATGATTTTGTCGTGGTTGACTCAAGAGTGAAGTTCACGGTGGAGGTTTCGAGGACACAGGAACACCACGGCACACAATCCAGCTTGCTCGATCTTCACGGCATACCGAAGCAGCAAATCCTAACTGCGGCACGTGTGACTGAGGGAGTTGAGAGGGCCAGGGGTGGTGGCTGACGGCCGTCTGCCTTCGTGGAAAGGGGAGGGGGGAGGAGTCGGGGCTGGATCGGCTACCGAACGACACGGAGGAGAAGTTCGTCTGTCCCAGCGTGAAGAACTCTGAGCTGCTGTCTTTTCCGGTGATTCTGACAATATCGAGGAACACCGGGGACTTTGCCTTGCACCGGTTGCAAAGCGCTGACCAGGAGGAACGCAGTGTGAATTAAATAAAGAGGTCGTCTTTGTGCAGTCGTTAGCGAGACACACTGGAGCGGTGTTCTATATTGGAAGGCCCGCGGGCCACTGGCAGCCCCTGGTGGCCTTTAGTGCAGCCCCTGACGTGGGGTGCCTGACAATACACAAATGTAAAAACACCCCTTGCAGCCAGTGACAAAGCAAGCAAAACGTTACTGCAAGCCCAATCGGCCCAAGGGGCCCACGTATTCATTTAAAACAAAAAATAAAATCAATGGACCCGCACTTGGATGGTGCAGTGAGCCCACTTTTTCCCCCTTTCATTTGGGCCCCTGTCGCCTCGAACTCGGGGCTGCTGTTCATGGAACTTTTGTACTCCCCCCACCACCGCCGCCGCCTCTACGTTCGGTGATCGGCGGCGCATCGTATCGGGCTCGCGTTGAATTGTAATTAATTGATTAAAAGTGGAAAGCCAAATACGGCCTCGGATTTTAATCCTAATAAATACGGCAACATTAACATAACAGACGTTTATGAATCTCTATCATCCGCATTTCTCTTCTCTCATGTAAACTCCACCTTTGTCTCTTTTGTTGTTCCCCCCCAATGCAACATGCATTGTGTACATCTCTCTCATGTCGCTACATCTCCGTCTCATATGTGCGTCTTCTCTCTCTCTCTCACACACCACACCTTTATCTTTCGTCTACGGTTATGTAATCTCACCACATCTAATATCTCTTTTGACATCTCACGAGAAATGTATCAATTCAAAGAGGGAAGCCCAAACATAGTCTGTTCTATAACGCGGTAGTAGTTGCGTTCCTGAAGAACACCGCGTTGTGAAAAAAAATCGTGATTGTAATCAATAATATACAATATAGGTTAAAGCGCAGTCCGCGAAAGCACGTGAGATGCGTACGCAGGCTAAACAAAGACTGACGCACGTGGGTAGCATCTACAAGCATCCAGCAGCATCCCATCCTTGTGTGATGTTACGCCAAGGGAGCCGTACAACCGCTTATTCCTACTCACACAAAATAGTTCTGTTCACTCGATCGCGTTAAATCCAATTCGCATCCGCGTTATATATATATTTTTTTAAAAAAATGTGTTCCCGAATACATTCACCGCGCAATATCCAATTCGCGTTTTGAAAACCACTCGCTGTCGGAGAACAGACTGTTACGTTATCTTCTTCGGGCCCCCAGTAGGCCAACAACGCCAACGGACACCTTCCCTGTACGTACGTGGTATGGTTCTTTGATTTGCTGGCACGGGCCACACCACTTTGCCGTGAAGAACAGAATGATGAGACGGCTCCCTGCGCATCCCTTTATCTCGTCAAAGTCGCTCTGAGAAGAAAAGTAAAATGTTACATGCCCGGCGCGTGAGGCCAGCAGGGACTCAATTAAAACTAAACGAATAAAAACATAATACAATTTTGATTTAAAGCTTTCGTGACTGCAGGGATTCATATTCTTGGTTCTTTCGGTAAAGTCACCAACACGTAGAAGGGAAACAATAAAATAATAAAATAATATAGACAATACAATTCTCACGACGTTTTGACTGCAACACAAGAAGCAATCATCATCAGGTGTGAAAACCACAGCAAGAAAATAACAGCCACTTTTTTAAAATTTTCTTGCTGTGGTTTTTACACCTGATGATGATTGCTTCTTGTGTTGGAGTCGAAACGTCGTGAGAATTGTATTGTTATATATTTGTATTATTTTATTGTTTCCCTTCTACGTGACTTTACCGATAGAACCAAGAATATAATACAATTTGTTCATTTTACCAGGTAAAGCCCACTGAGCTATGTGGCTCTTTTTCAGACGCGACCTGGCCACGAATGATAGCTGAAGGAAGTGGCTTATCATCACGTGGAAATTTATATCAGCCAAATAATCTGAACGCATGTAGATTGTAAATGTGGAGGGAAACCCGGATCAACATCCACGTAACCACGGATAGAGAGAGCGAGAGACACGCAAACTCCAAATATACAACAGGCATCAGGGTTGGGATCGAACCCACGACCTCCTGTATACCAGGCGAGGTAGTTAACATCTGTTAGCCACCGTGATGATGATGAGCGAGAGAGAGACACGCAAACTCCAAATATACAACAGGCATCAGGGTTGGGATCGAACCCAGGACCTCCTGCATACCAGGCGAGGTAGTTAACATCTCCTAGCCACCGTGATGATGATGAGCGAGAGACACGCAAACTCCAAATATACAGCAGGCATCGGGATCGAACCCACGACCTCCTGCATACCAGGCGAGGTAGTTAACATATGTTAGCCACCGTGATGATAATGAGCGAGAGAGAGACACGCAAACTCCAAATATACAGCAGGCATCGGGATCGAACCCACGACCTCCTGCATACCAGGCGAGGTAGTTAACATCTCCTAGCCACGGTGATATTCACCAACGCGATGGTGCTGCTATTGCAAGAGCACCGGCAGGGTCGTCTCTCTCGTCTTTCTGCAATCCCTTTGGACGGAATTTCTTCATCGACAGTCTTTTACAGCGCTTTCTCTGTTCTAAACGTGCGCATCATGGTGGCCAAATATTCAGGCGATAAATGACAATGTTGAGGTCTGCTGGCCATTGATACTGCCATGCCAACAAATGTGGGTTTCTTTGTAAATCAATAATCGAAACGATAACTGTCGCTAAGATTATATCGGTAGAGTAATCGATTACTTCAATAATCGAATACCCCACCTCCCCCTCCAGCCATAATCATCATCAACCCGCATCACTTAACTGAACCTCGGGACATGAGTCACAGCAAAGTGGAGTAGATATAAAACCATTACACGCAAGGGTGAGAACGAAGGCAAAGTTATTCCGTATTCCGAGCCAGAAGTCTCCTGTCCCACTCAATAATCTCTCATCGTCATCAGCAACAGCACATTGTCTACAACCGTTGCAAAACGCCAGTATTTTTTTGCGGCGTAGACTTGGGGAGAGCGACTGGGCAGGAGAATGAAACAATGGCATCCGCCAAACATGTGATCGCAATCAATTTTGACAAATTAAATGCGGCACGTTTGAGAGCAACCCCTATTCAGCAGCACTCGTCCCTGGTGGCAGGACTGAGCCATGAGCGCTGGAAAGTTCTACGTTTTGCTGTGGTAGGGCCAAGTCAGCCCGTAAGAACATGACCAATGTTCATTCCCTACGAGGCGTCAAACACAGGTTTTAGACTTGTAACCTTGGCAGCGTTGCAATGCTGCCAATCCACAAATGGACTTTAACCAATAAAGAGGCACCATTCATGGCTGAACCTGCACAGTACATACACATGCATCACGCAATCCAAACAGATTGAACCAGTGGCAACCAACAAAAAAATGCGGAGTTCCTGTATCTCAAAGACAAAGATCCCCAGTGTAGCCTGTAACAAGACTGTAGGGGCAAGTGCTGTTAGCGAGCATCTGATGAAGGCTACCGGCACGGCACACGAGGGGGTGGGTGGCCAGCACCACACCCGGCCGCCTTTGTCTCTCTAGTGGCGATATTTACACATCGCACCCAGGTACTCATTACACCTACCACGCGCACACACGCAGCCGCGCATTTAAAAAAAGATGCACCACTTGCCTGGCTTTGAAGATGTTTCAGACCCATGTTGGATGGTGGCGCGTGTCGACGTCTCCTGCCGAGGAGGAGGAGAGGCACCTGGCTCTGGCGAGAAGGCGGTCGTACGGCGGCAGTGATGAACGAGGGCTCTCTTGAACGCGAAGGTTGTGGAGCTGTGGGTGCGGTCCCTGGGTCTCCTCCCAGCAGGGGCACTCAGCACCTTGCCTGCCCGCCCATCCCCACCACCCCCCCAGGGCTCCCCACCCCACGATGGAGCGTCTCACGCAAGAGGGGCGTGCGAGAGGCGTAGGCGAAGCTAAAATTAAAAAAAAATCTTCAGGCGGCACCCATGCAGCTCAAGGTGCCCTACCTGCATTCATGAACACACACACACACACACAAACAGGAAGAAGCTAATACCGTCTCGAAATCAGATCCGAATAATTTCGTAAAGAACAAATGTGTCTATGTTGTCTGTACCTCTCAACTTCCATCTTGCTATAGTTTCTGTTTTGTATCAGCATTTCTCTCATCTCACTCCATCTCGATCTCTTAACTAAAATCTCTTCCGTCGTCTCACGAGGAGTTTAGGAAATTGAAAGTGCCGTGGGGAACTCAAAGAATATTTTTGTTTTACTTTGAGCCCCCAAACAAACCACCGAACAGAGGTGGTCACCGCATCGCGCGCTTCTGCGATCGTCTGGAACGCTCTTCCTTCCGATATTAGGACAACACTGGAGCTATGCAGTTTTAAATCTACATTGAAAACGTATTTTTTTAGAACTGCTTTTTGTGTTTAGTGTGTTTCTCCTTCCCCCGCACCTCCGTTTAGCACAGTTGGCCCAGTACGGTGGGGAAAAGGTTCAATATACATACACAAACATTGCCCCACGCAGTGCGGTAATGATGCCACGTGTCATGTAGGATCCACTGGGAGGACCGATCGCGTGGTCGGTCACGCTCTTCTGCTGTCTCGAAATCACCTTCTTGCCGGAGTTTTGCTCTCAAGGGTGGATGGGTGGTGGGATCGCATTCGACGCGATGACGATTAATTAGCGTTACAAGTGCCGTGGTGAAATGTACATTGCGTTGAGTGTCTTGAGGGCGATTGATTTAATAATTGAGAGAGATTATTTCCAGATCGACCCTACCCACTGTTTTAAAAATATATAAAGGCACCATATGGTGACACGTGGCAAAACATGCTTGGCATGAGCTCAGTGCCGGATTATCCGAGTAGCAAAAGTAGCTACATATGTAGCTACGGGCCTCGCCCTTTCAAGGGCAACGCGCTAATTGCCTTCAAGCTATCAGTTCGGGTTCAGTGATTGTGCACTTGCTCTATTGCTATAGTACTATACTGCCTTCAACTTTTATGAACGACTGGGTGTTTAAGGTTAGCGATTTGTCTCATTATCAAGCTGTATAGCAAATGAAAAAGAATACAATAACTTTACTATGCAAGTAAAACATTTGTGTTTTAACATGTTTTAATTTAGGGCCCCTTTATAACATATGATACAGGGCCTGCACTAGCTTAATCCGTCACTGCGTGAGTCCCCGGGGTGAGGAATTAAATGGGCATCCCTACCCAAATGTGCCTCCTCTTAGTAACCTGGCCCCCCGGTGTCAACTGAAAACTGGCGGAGAGAATGTGATGACGAGGTGTCATGGCATCAACAAAGATTCGAAGGCGTTTGCTTGCAATTACTTTTTTGTTTTTCAATCCTGCCTTTCACTGAAAAGAATTCACCGGGGGCGTGCGCGTGCATATTGAGCGATAAGTCAATGCAACAACTTGCTTTTTGTACCAGGCGTGATTCAACCGTGATTATAAAGTGTAATTTTAGGGTGTGGGTGACATAACCAGTCGGACCGTGACCTTGTTGGCAAAGAGCACCTGCACGAGTTCTTTACCAAACTACAAACCACCCACCCAGCAACCAAGACGTCAACAACAAAACCTCGCCGCCGACTCAAGTCCCGATCCTCCCCCCTCCCCGCCCTTCTGAGATCGGGCTGGTTGCCGTCACCGTCCTAGAATCTCACCCAGGTACGGGCGAACGGAGTGGAACAACGCGGACGTCCAGAATAAACGCCACGTTCGAGACCCCGACAAACATCGCACATCTCCTGACTTTGACATTACTCGTAGACACCGGTGTGACCAGCAACCAGATCAGGACACCAACAGGCGACTGTGCACATCTCCGGAAAAAAAATGTGAAATTAAAGACAAGTGTTGCACACTCGAAATGAAGGACGTTGGGCAAGTGCTCCAAATCGAGGGCAAACACATTTATTGTGAAATTTTGATTTAAAGCTTTCGTGACTGCAGTAATTCATATTCTTAGCTCTTTCGGTAAAGTCACGTTGAAGAGAAACAATAAAATAATAAAATATATATAAAACAATAAAAATTCTCACGACGTTTCGACCATAACACAAACGGTCGTCATCAGGTGTGTCGGTTTGCATTAATTTGAATATATACATTTATTGTGGTTAATCTGTAGAATGCAACAGCACGTGGCGTCATACGCAGCAATCCTCAACCGAGTCGCCATTAACCACGTGACTGGTGTACACGTCCGGTTAATCATTAACCCTGCCAGACCCCCCCCACCCACAGGCCCAACTCAGTCATCACATGCTGGTGTACACACGTGCATTGATGTACTGCACAGCACATAAGGACTTATTAAAAGAGTGGTCCATTCCTCATGTGCCACACAAGCCACAGTAGTGTGATTGTGGCAATGCAACCCAAACTATGGACCATATAGAAACCTAGATTTGAAGCTTTCGTGACTGCAAGGATTCATACTCTTTAGTTATTCTGCTGTCACCTGAAGACGGAAGCTTGTGTTGCCTCCGAAACGTCGTGATTTAATTGTTTTATTTTATTTTACCTACTTGACTTTACCGACTAAAACCAAAGAGTACATATAGAAACCCACTGGAGTCTGCACTTCTTCAATGGAGGAGGAATAGAAAGACTACAACAACTCTCACCTGAAGCCCTCGTTGTCGTTACTAGTAGACCTCAATGTTGACATTTAGCTCCCGAACATATTTCCACGATACGCAAGAATATAATCACACACACACACCTCTTTTCCACGTATAGATTAATGCCTCCTCCTCCAAGCCGTCGTCATATGTCTCACACTCCTACGCTGTAACAAGTGTCTCAAAACACTATTTCACGAGGGCTCTGCTTAATTATGGACGTTAAATATTGTATGCGTGGGAAGATATAGCGTAGTGCCTGGAGAACACCCACTCATTAGGAGACCAACACTCAAATATTGTACGGATGGGTAATCAGCATACTTGCTGGATTATCTTACGGGCACGTTTGAACTAAAATAGCGTATCATATGCGCATAAGTTCACAAGGTTATGCCCCAAGTAAAGTATATGAACATGCAGACTTCGCCTGCAGCTCATCTCACGTCACCTGCAACGATCATCGCCATTCCTCGGAGGGGAGGAGAATACGGATGAGCTCAATTTCTTTAGCTGCGATTAGAACGCCTCCCTTGCCTGGGAGCTCATGCTTGTTTACTACGATGAATGACATCGCTGTTTAATTTACGGTGGATATCCAATTTTACTACCTAAAGGTGGGGGGCAGGGGGGGATGTTGGGGGCGGAAATCATTATCGGTGCGTGCGACTCCTCTTACCTGCACGACGAAATGCAATTAATAGCAGATTATGGGATGAAATTTGCACGCAAATCAAGCGGTCGTGAAGTGGCTTCTTCGAGCGCACTGTGCTGCCTGAGTTTGATTCCCAGCCGCGGCTAAGATCAGAATAATTGAGCATTTTTAAAATAAATCTAAAAATTTACTCTTTTAAACTTGCTTTTAATTAGGATTCTATTATTGTGTTATTTCTACGATGCCTTCGCTAGAAATTTGTTACAACGTGATTTTATTCTGCCTAGAATTTCATTTTTATTGTTCTTGCCTGTAAAGCACTAAGGATTGCATTTTTTGCACGAATAGTGCTATAGAAAAAACGTTTGATTGATTGATTCAGTAGCCCTCCGATGCTTTTTCGGGTTGTACCGCGTGTTGTTGGGCACGATGTCCGGCGTTTCGCTCCATCGTGCCGAAAAACGCACCGTGCAAGCTGAAAACACATCGGCGAGCTATACAGCAGCGGTTTCGGTGGCGAGCGAAAATCCGAGCCGGTACGGTGTGGGGAGGACTTCATCCAGCAGTGGATTGACAAAGGGCTGTAAATGAACTCATAGGTAAGTGCGCATAATAGTGTTTAAGAAATGAGAATAGGATTTTTCGGTGATTTGATTCACGCGCGTTGATAAAAGGAAGACTGGTTAAAAGAGCAGCAGAGGACACGCATGATATTACGCAATTTGTTGAGGCCATCGAGACCAAAACTCTTATTTATTTTTTTCAAAAGAGATATGCCATGCGCATTTGACCTCTGAGTATTCAACGAATTGTAATTCATTTCCCGCACCTCCGATTAGCACAGGTTGGCTACGTACGGCGCGAACGAAGTTCAACATACATCAACATACCTACATACAGTGAAGTATTTTGGTGATTCTTCTGTCGGCATTGGTGCGCATGCACAATTAACATAAAACACTAAACACACATCAATAATACTGTGGCCTTAGAAAATGTAGATTTATAATAGGCGAAGTTTTGGCCAATGGCCCTTCATCATAGCACATCAATTATTATTCATGTATTGTTACGGTGCCTTGAGTCGTTGTTCTGGAAACCGGGAGATCGATGATTGATGTTAGGTCACCGGGGTTGATGATGGCCACGAGTCGTGATTTCTCGCCGAACAGTGGGCCACATGGAGGCTGCCATGATTCATGTGTTATGAGGAAGAGCCGTTGCCCAGAAATGTTACCGATTATATTGTTGCTCATTTATTTACGGCCACAGCGTTGTTACTGAATAATGCACTGAATGTTTTTTTTTTCCATCACGAAGTGAGATGAGCAGCCAGTATGCAGGTCGTCACAGACATACCCACACCAAATGGCCACCGCTCACATTCACATAATTGGGCCATAGCTGGGAGCGATTTAAATACATTTCCCCCCCAAAAAAGCCCCAAAGTGATGACATTCGTCGCGCGCTGAGATACTCGGCAGGTGAACAACCTCCTGCAGTGACTGCGGCCACCCTATCCACA